TGAAAGTCTGGCGCGCCAGATTAGAAGCAGCATGTAGTTGCCTGTGCCGTCACCTTTGTGATCGAAGCCCGTCCCAGTTCTTTCACTATCGCGAGAGGCCGTTCAACTTAGCGTACCCTTGGTAGTTTTAGCACATTCACACTGAAATATTGAAGTGAAATTAGTTCCGCATTCTTCGACTCAAGCAAGACAATCGTTCTCGACGCACAGGCAGCATTGCATGAGCTGTCATAATACATGTCACAGGTTCAAGATCTGGTGCATCAAGACCACGATATTCATTTCGTATCTAGATGCATGATTACCCTCATTCTATCATGTCAACAACCCGTAATTTACGGCCACATCATGCCATTGCCATCGAAGTTCATGCCGGTCAGATCAGTCCTGACATCGAGCGGGTAGTCAGCCGCCTTGAGGTCCCTCCTCCACGACTGCATCCTCTTGCTGTGTGCTCTCTCAGATACACTCAACTCACGCTTCCCCATGCGCGATGTTGAGTAACCACCAAGGTCTCCAGCGATGCAGTGGCTAACATGGCCCCAGGTTGAATCAGCAACAGCCTTCCAGATAGCGGTTACATCGACAGTCATAGCCTTGGTGTACAGAATACGGCAGTCTGAAGGCTCGTAGACGAACTGGAGAGGTGTGTCAGTCTCGTCTCCATCGCGAATACCATCGCGGAAGTTGACGTTGATCGCGTTGTTGGAAGAGCGGATAAAGGGTGTGTCGTCGAAGTAGTCGCCTAGTTCCGTCTTGTTGAGCTCAGCGCCTTCTGCAGGCGTAGACAGATTACCGATGGTGAACTGAGCCACGGATTGAATGTAGTCCCACGGGTAGTTGTTCGTTCCCTTCACACCCCCCACGGCTTGCGTAATACCCTCACGAGGGCGGCCTCCCAGTGAGATGTACTTGACACCGGCACGCTGACGCATGAGTTCAGAGAAGATGGTGCAAGTTGACGCGCAGTATCCATCGGTGACGACGACGATGTCCTCGGCGGCAAAAGGAGCCTTAGTGTAGTTTGAGAGTGGGCCATATCCGTGGACGTAAACACCACCGGAGTTGAGCGGAGTCAGTACGTCGCTGAGGTTCCAGCGGAAGAGGTTGGTGAAGTTGTCCCCCTTCTGCTCGAGCCCAGGGCCAAACTTGTCCTGCCAGCTCTCGAAGTTCTCGCTATTGACATCAAGATCAGATCGGTAGTTGAAGACGGAGGACACAACATTGCCGACCAGATCCTCTAGTGTTTCGTTCTTGGTCTCAAGCACACGTGGTACACCCGCGGCAGCTTCAGAGAACTTTCGGTTCAAGATCTCTGTAGTTTCGAAGGCGCGGTAGCGGTCGGCAGCCGCGTGATCAATCTCTTGCGGGAATAGCAGCTTGTATAGATCGTAGCCGAGCAAGATGGTGCCTCCGCCGTTGGCTGAAACGTCAACCACGAGCTTCTTCTTCCCGGCGGACTTGGCCTGGGCAAGGAACTTGGCAGCAGTATCTTGGAACCCTTCCTGTGCGTTGTCAATTCCGACGAAAGATGGCACGGAAAGTACGGCAACGTCTGAGTAGTCACCCTCGAGGAAGTAGCCACCAATCAAGTTGTGTGCTTCACGAAGGACTGGAGGCGGGTATCCTGGCGCAGGGATGGTTGGAAGAGGCGTAGCGGAGGTAGTGGCTGAGGGTGTAGGTGTAGCCGAGGTAGTGTTGGAAGCTTCGGTTTCGCTTCCAGGCTGGTTGCCCGTGAACCAGAGCTTGTAGAGGCTCTCTCCGTCGGTAATACCGTCGAAGGGGATCAGAACCTTGGCGAAGTTGTCATAAGTTCGGCTGGTACCGTTTTCAAACGTAAGCTCGGTGGTAGGACCGGGGTAAATCCAACGACCGCGGCCCGATCCCGCGAAGGTTCCAATACCAGATCCAACCGGGCCGAGAGATACAGTGGCGAGCTCGTAGAAGACGTTGTTGTACAACGCGTCTCGGTCCTGGAGGGAACCGTACTGGGCCCAGTTCTCCAGGAAATCCTTGGCATCCTCGCCATCGATGTGGGTAATGGGCGAAGGCGTGAACGTAGCATTGCCGAAAGATTCGGCCAAGACATCAGCATAGACGTAAGGCCGGGGAAGCTCCTTTCCGTCGCTCGAAACGGAAACGAGTGGTACAGGACGGGCGAAGTTGAAAACCGTGCCGACTACATCGGGGACGTACACAAAGTGACCGTCATGGGTGCTTTGCAATAGGGTGTAGAGCTCGAAACCGAACTGTTCTGAATCAGCTCATACTCTTCATAACAAGGAGAGAGACACCTTACTTCGTACTCGTTCTTGTACTCTCCTCCATTGACCTTTTTCCTGATTTCCTCGAGTTCGCCCCAGATATCAACCGCTGGCTGGACCTTCTCGGCGTACTCAGCAGGAGGGTCTTTCAACCAGACGGTGTTACTTTGCCATTTGAAATATGGAACGACACCGTCTACCAGGGCAAGAGCAGCGCTCTGGTTGAATGGGACGGAGTTGATGCAGTCCCATGCGAGTTCGGCGGGTACAGTCGCGGTACCTGCAGTGACATTCTTGCCTACGATCGCGGTGCCGACTTGTGCGCAGGGACTTGTCGCGTTGTAGTGCCGTGTATGAATGTGAGGTGCGACAGGCGACGATAGCGCGACTGAGGCTAGCGAGAGACCCGCAACGGCATTGAAGAGGGAAGCCATGCTTTCAACCCAGACAACACGACAAGAACTGGAGGCAAAGATCTCAGGTTCGCCGTACCTCCGCTGCAGTCGCACGAACTATACCACTTTATAGCTGCACAGCTTGAATCGCGGACCAGGTAGCGAACTTGCGCGTTCCCGAGAAAGAAGACATCATAGCTGCAGGAGCTACCCTGTACTTGTCATTGCTAGACCCATGTAGAACAAGGCAAAGGACGGTCGGGCGAATAGGCGAAGCGGATATGATAGGGAACTAGATTAAGAGCATGCATGCACGTATGCTCGAAGAGGAAGGCCGTGGTGTGCTTGGTGCTCTGAACGATTGACGATCGTATCCCGAACGGCATTGGGGGTTCAGGGCAACACAGGTACCCAAGGACCCAGGGTCGCTTTGATGGTAGAGTGCCCACAATTATGGATGCATCTCGGTGCAATGGTAATGATTACTAGGTAAGAGATTGGACAGTCGGCCGCTGTAACACTGACCGCGAAGCTTCGTGGAGTTGTCGAAGCTTCACAAGCCTCAGGCGCTAGCCCGCCTTTCTACGCTAGATTAGGCAGGCGCAAAGTGCGCGGTGCCGATGCGTCCTATCGAGCATTCGAGCATCAATCCCCGCTCTTGCGATATCAGCTTCCGAAAGCGCATTGGGTCTACGGGAATCATGACGTACGACGGAGCTGCAGTGCTTTTGTGTGGCTAGTGCTATGCAGTGCCAATCTTCAGGACGGAGTACATGGGTGGCGTGAGGCACATTGGAGGCTGAACCGAGGGACTGGTAATTACTCCGCAAGATACCCGTGGACAACAGGAACACGAAATTGCTGACAGGATCATCCCGCTAAATTTCCGAACACTGACAGCTGTTACATGTAAGACCATACAGCCTTAAAGAAAGTCAACTAATCACCATATCAAACTAATCACCATACAGTCCGAAAGTCTACATGCCAGTCGTTATAGCTTGCATCGCTACACTTAGCAGACGGCTTGCGCGTTGATTTTGAGAAGTGTTGACGTAGACACGGGCTTGGTAACACCGCAACCCGCCTTTCACACATTGATGCGTGCTCAGATGAGTAATCTGATCGAGGCACAATGAGACACGAGACGCAGTCGAACGGGCTCAAGCCACATTCCCACATCCATCTTCCATCGCCCAGGCCAGTTCATGTGATCAAAGGGCAACCACAGAAAGAGCAACATGGGACATCAACTCCTGCCAATTCACTGCAGCAGTCAGAGCATGCTATAGAGGGACCCAACAGCGAATTATGAAAAGATGCCAATCTTTTCGCAGCATTCTCGCTACTACGAGCATCCTTTGGTCAATGAACGGAGGATGACCAGAGCGATGAACCCAAATGTATCGTAAGATGCCATTCGTTAGTTCATGAAAACCATCTGCGGCCTTGCGCAATATATCAAGACCTAAGCTATCTGTGGTATTAACAAGGCGGTGTACTAGTTGTTCAACAGGCAAGCTGCTTGACATTCACCCTATGTTTGGTGGAAGACCTTTGTCCAGAACAAAGCCCGAAAAGAGAGTGTGAGGGCAAATTCCTTGCCAAAATCTTTACCTGAATGCATATATACTGCTACTGTGTCTCTATCTGGGCATTGGCGCCCAGCAGAAGCCATGGTAGAGACTATATACTCGATGACAAGCTTTCAGTCTTCACCCTCAACGCCCGGCATTGTCTTATATATACTGTCGCATTACCTGCGTCCAGCGTCCAAATGTGTGAAATGGCGGCTTACGTGGTGAACCACATCCTGGTGAACCACCTCCCACACGATGGAGTGTGAAATACACGCAGTCACACTGTGTGCGAGCGATGTCCCTTCGTCCTCAAAAGGCCGGAAAATCCGTCAATACATTGGATCATTCCTCGCCATACATCGTTGTACAACGCAGTTGAACAGTACCGCACTGTGAGCCAGACCTCCGTCAATATGAACCACCCTCCAGCACGGTCGCGCGAGCAGTACTTTTTAAGCCACGTCAAGCCGTCGCCCCCTTCAGACGATCCGGCATGTCCCATCTGCAGAGATCCCTGGAGTCCCGATACGTATACCATCATTCGGACGATATGCGGCCATGTCTTCCATCGGTCGTGTCTTGATCGATGGCTAAATGAGGAAGACGGTCAGAACACATGTCCAACCTGTCGTGCAGTTTGTTTTCTCCAGCCCCCAGCACAGGAGACCGTGGTTCAAACCGCAGGCCCTAATGTCGACCACGGACTCGATCCAGGGCTTGGGGTTGACTCAGGTTATTTGACCAACACTGTCTTTGGTCTCATGGCTACAACGATTCAAGATATGCTTGGGCCGCTTATAAGAACCGAAGATATCCGCAGGCAGTTTGGTATCGATCTCGAAGACCCCAATGATCCCCTGCGGTTTCTTCAAGCCATGAAAAACGTCGTCCATGCAGGTGTACTACTGGGTCGATTTCCGCTAAATCTTCAGGAAGGCTGGATGCCAGAACTAAGGCTCAGACTCGGAGACTGGCAAACTATCAAGTTCCTGATAGCGTCAATTTTCATCTCTGCGCATTGGCGACGGATGACCCCATGGCAGTGGGCCGGCGTACTGGCCGAACGAAATCGGATTGGGCGTGCTGCATCTGACTCGGCGGACTTTGGACCCTCCAGGGACTCTTGGATAGAGTACATTAACGACCGGTACAATGCGGAATTTGGGATCTCGATTGACGCCTACTTCCCAGGCGCCGGTATTGCACGCTGGAGGGAGACTGATACGACTGGCCAGATAGTCAACGAAGATGAGCTGGACTTGACGATGATCGACGGCACTTTGGCGACCAACATCAACGTTCCGGGTACAGACTTCAGTCCGGGGCCTCTACTGTACTTCCAAGGTAACTCACTCTGGATTTCAGAACGAGTGATGGGCAACATTGTGGAGTTGAGCATCGACAGCACTTTGCGTACTGTCTATATGCGTAGCTCCGCAAATCGCGAGTTCAGGGTAGAGTTCCTTCCCCATGGATTACAGGAAGACGCTTGTTTGCCACCAGCTACGACAAACATGATAAAGCGCGGTGGAGGGGTTTTCCGTTTCGGGTTCTGTTGAAAAGCTTGTAGAAACAAGGGGAGCGGATTCATGGTATGTTGTCACAGGTGGTAAGAGGAAATGGATTGAGAGAGCTGTTGTCGCCGACGCGCTAAAAGCTGCCCCACCCGCCTGGGAGCTTCCCAGGTTGCGTCGCGTCGCTCATCGCATCTTCACTTCAGGATTTGGCACTCTTGGTCACGCGCAGGGCTATGTGCGCTCTTTCTCGTAGATTTTCTGCCTCTCGCTCATAGAAAAATGCGATAGCTAAACCTGACGAATCCACCCATTTCTACCTAACGCATAGCGGACATCTCTGACACACTGCAACATAGACAAGATGAAATATAGCGGGTAATCCTTCACCTTCCACACACCTGATATTCGCACGGAATTAATACTGTAGGCTATATTTCGTCTCCAACCCCTCTACCAACATCGACGCCTCTCTCGCTATCGTCAACACCCTCATCCAAGGCATCGAGACCAGCTTCCCAAACACCACACGACAGCAAACACCATGGTCGCTATCATACCGCGCATTTCGCGACACCATACCTCCAGGTTACCAGCCACCTGCGGGCGCAGACGGTAAACCAGAGCCATACGTACATTCATACCAGCACCTCCTCCACGTTTCGAGCCTCTCGCCAAACCGCACATATGTCTTTGCACAACCGCGAGCGCAACAGGAAACTATGACGTCGATACCGCTGCGACAACAAGACGCACATGCCTCAGTACTGCGATACCAGTGTTCTGCTCTGTGGACGCCGAGACACATACTCGCGGTGCGAGAGGGGGCATCATATAGCGGGGGGCTCTGTTCGATACAAATCGGCGAACTACGAGCGACTCGCGAAGGTCCGCAGTCAGGCGCTATCTCATCACCCGGCGTCGTGGTCTGCATTAGCACAACGTTGGGCGCTGAGGACACTGATGGCAACCTGGATTCAGGCTATGGCACAATGGAGAATGGTACAGCGATGGAATTGGACGAAGAGGAAGTCGACATTGAGTATGCGCAGGCTGTGGTACGCGACTGTTGGAGTAGGATCAAAGATGGGCGCGATCTGGGCCGGTCAGAGATCAGGGAAGTGATGATGGCTTCGACTATAACGAACAAAAAGGGCCAAGAACAAGAGGCGATGGTGCGCATATGGTGCGATGCTCTGCGCATGCGCGGATGAGCCAATATTTGCACATCATCTATCATCAGATACCCAATGTGAGAATTTGAGATGGACTTGTGGCACCAGGTGTGAAGCGGACCGCATTCATATAAAGTAGCATGCAAGTGAATCATGGATAGTTTTACAGTTTGATTGACTATATGCCAGGCCTACCCTGCCTAGACACTCATACGACCGTCTAGTCTCATTGCCTCCTACCAAATCCCTAGGTATCCCTACAGGTATCTAAACTACAACAACGTAAAGGGCAAAGAAAGAAAAAAGAAAGCGAAGGTGGTAAGGTCAAGTATTAAGGCAACATCTTGCGCACATTCAGATTACAACACATAGTTGAAGATCGATCCCCAAAGCTTGATCAGCTCGCGCCATAACCCTAGACCGGACATATGCAAAAGGAAATTTCTGGGAAGGCGAAAGAAGGGAGTAGTAGTAATAACCAGCCAGTAGATGAAGGATAAGTATCGCACAATGAAGAAGATACACGACATCCAGGTAAGGCTTACTGCGCACCAACCTCTTCTTCTGCCCAGCCAGGGAGACCACCGTCACCCTGGATGGCAAGACCGTAACCGCCGTTGCCGCTGCCGAAACCACCGATGCCGGAGCTTAGGCTACCGAAAGAGCCCTGCTGAGGTGCTTGGGTTTGCTGCATGGAGTGGTTGAAGGGGCCCTGAGTGAAAGCGGGCAGGCTCACAGCGCGCGAGTGTTGACCACGCGAGTTGAGGTTCGAAGGTGCAAGGAGGCCACCAACAGTAGTAGCACCTGAGCCACCAGCTGACGTACCGTTAATCAAACTGAAGCTCGATGTGCTTTGATGGGAGCTATGAGAGTGGTGTGGCTGAGGAGTGTTCAGGTCGGCACTGTAGAAAGCAGCTTGCGGCGACTGGAAAGATTGCTGCTGGTTCTGCTGCTGCTGCTGTTGCTGCTGCTGTTGTTGTTGCATGCTGGCCTCGACCTGTTGTTGTTGTTGCTGCTGTTGCTGAGCTTGTAGGTACATCATGAGGGGGTTGTTGTTGCCGGAGTTCATGATGTTACCTGAAGCAGGTGCTTGAACTGAAGGGAACTGGCCGTTGGTGCTTTGGCCAGAGCCTGGTGCGCCAGAGCCAGTCGGCGAGACTGAAGCACCAGCACGGTTAGGATGCAGTCCGTTGATAGGCGATGGTGACTGGAGACCATCGCTACCGGCTTGCTGAGCCTGGGCCTGCTGGCTGTTCATCTGGCGAGGAGGGTTACCGCATCGGTCCTTTCCGAAGTTGACCTTGAATCGCTTGTATTCGTCACGGCCACGGATCGCTTCAATTGCCTTAATGGCATTGGCAATGTTGGTGAAGTTGACGAATGCACAGCTCTTCTCGCGCAGGGTGTTGACCAGCTCGATCTCGCCGTACTCCGAGAAATCCTGCCTTAAGCGGTCTTCGGTCCAGGACTCATCTAGGTTACCGATGTAGACGTTACGTGAGGCACCACCACTGACAGCAAGGGCAATCGCAGGCGGGAGAGCACCAGAGTGCTTACCCCATCCGATCTTCAAGCGACGGTTGTGGATCATAAGCCCCTGGAGATTGCTAAGAGCGTAGAAGGACGCAGCCGACGTCGGGTCGATGAAAGTAACGAAGCAAATGTGCTTATCCGGGATATACCTGATGTGGTGAAGAAGACCACCGCGCACAACATTGCAGATCTCCTCGATGGTGGTTTCGGGATGAATGTTACCTAGGTAAACTGTTCGGTTACCCAAGTTGTTCACACCACCAGCAGAGGTCGCGACCGCCGCGGCAGCGACAGATTGCTGAGCAAGAGCATTGGAGATCATGTCGCGGTCAGCACCGTTCAGAACATGAGCGTAGCCAGGCGCGATACCCAGGTACTGCGCGGCGTTCTGCTGCTGGGTCTTCGAAACGTAAGCGCATCGATCCTTGCCGTAGTATACGCGCCTAGGCGCTTGCCACTTTGGCTCCTGGGGAAGTTGAGACACAGCCTTGATGGCATTTCCGATGGACAAGAAGTGAACAAAACCAATAGCCTTTTCCCGGACGATCTTGACGGTATCAATGGGACCAAATTTGCTGAGGTCTTCGCGGAGTTCGTCCTCGGAGACATCCTCGGACAAGTTACCTAGGTAGACGTTGCGAGAGGCACCCGATTGCTGCACAGCCAAGGCCACAGATGTGGGGACCTGGGACGGCTTTCCCCATCCAATCTTGATGTCCTGACCCCTGATTGACAGCTTCTTCAGAATGGCGTCAGAGTGGAAGTGAGTAGCGGAGCTGCTGTCCAGGAAGGAGATGAATGCGCAGTTCTTGTCTGGGAGAAGCCTGACGGACTCGATTTGACCACTGCGTACATGGCCGAGAATCTCCTCCGCAGAAGTCTCAGGGGGGATGTTGCCCAGGTATACAGTCCTGCTAGTTCCAGATACAAGACCGGGAGCAATCGGCATTGAGGAGCCGAGTCCACCGAGACCCTGCGCGCCGTAACCAGGGAAACCTCCAGTAGGTGACTGGGGTCCACCAAAAAAGCCACTAGTGGGAGAAACCATGTTCTGGTACAGCTGGGGCGAAAGAGGCTGTTGCAAGGGGCTTCCCATCTGGTTGTTCTGGTGGTTCTGTTGCTGAGACTGATTCTGGCCAGCGAACTGTGCGAAGTTCTGAAACTGCGGGGAAGCGAAAGCCGAGGGCGAGCCTGGCTGGAAGGGGCTACCGAGGAGCAACTGCGAAGGGAGCAGAGGGGTGAAGTTCATGTCGAAACCAGTTCCTGGAGTCTGCAAATCGTTGCCGTTCTGGTTGCCAGGGTTGAGTCTGCCGGTATTGATGGACATGTTGTTCGCCCTCTCCGGGTGTCGGTCGCCATAGCCGGGCTGGTTCGTAGCGAAGGCGCCGTGCGAGAAGCCGTGGTGACCGCCGTTCATCTGCCTGTGGAAGCTCGACTGGAGACGAGGACCGCTGGGGGCGTTCGGGGCGCCGTCGTGTTGCTGCATACCGAGGAGGTGCGGAGGCAGACTGAAGCTGTCCCGCGCGTTTTGAGATAGAACCGCCGTGGTGAAGGTGTATTACTGCGTCCGGGACTCGTTGGACCGGACGGCGAAATATGTATGGCAGAAGGTGAAGTTGCAACCGGTTGCAGAGAGGTCGCCGGGCTTGCGAAGATGCTGCTGTATTACAAGATGTAGAGCGTTCTAGAGGGCATTAGTTTGAGCGCAGTGGAGACGCATTGGACAAGACGTACTTCCAAAAGCACAATGGCAACGAGTCGTTTGCAGGTCTAACAATACAAGACACGCTCACGACGCAGGCAATCGGGGCCTAAAGGATGCAGGCACAGAGGTCCAGAACGGTACTGTCGCAGGCTTGCACGGTGGACGCAGTGGAGGCGCAATTAAATGCCGTGGGCCAGAGCTGCCGAAGAACAAACTCGCGTGGCTTGTTTGAGGATGCGTGCACCAAAAGAGCGAACAATAAGAATGAAGTGCAAAGAAGCAAGCTTTGCCGGGAGCCTCGATGCGGGGAGAAGAGGACAGAATGAACGAAGGGGATCGAAGAAGAGGGATGCGACCTGAAGTCGGAGCGGAGGAGAGAAGAAAGAGGTCGGTGAGAAATGCTAACTAGCAGGGCACATTAGGAGGCAGCCGCAAATGAGGCAGCCCAAAGCGGACAACTAGCGCACCGCCCATTTTAAACGCGCAGGCCACGTCTGAATCGTGCAAACCACCGTCGCCACGAACCGCTGCCCTGCAGTTCTCTCTGGCCCCGTAGACGCCTGTGCTAGGCGGCGTGGTATTTCGTGCAGCGACGCGCCCCCGTGCCTGGCGTAGACGGTCTTGTGCTACCAACGGCGCAGCTCGGTATCCTCCAGCAGATGCGGCCAACGGGTAATTGCAGATATGCACACTCCGTCCCTGACTAGACGAGCCGCCTGATAGTGCTGCTCTTAAGACGGGTCCCTTTTTTCCCTTTGTCACGCGAACACGAAAGGGTCCAGATCGTATTGCGGCGGCTCCAGTTCCAGGCGTAAGGATAGCCCTTAGTGCCAGCCTGCCCATCGCCGCGTCTCAGCAAGCCGTACTGAGCGTTTCCGTCTGGTCTGGCTCCGGGGTATACTACTGTGAGCGTTCGCCAGGTGTGGAACAAACACGGAGCGCTCCGTCTTCGGGGTATCAGATGTCAAACGCCATCATGCGAAACCTCCACGTGTGTCATGCTTACCCCTGGGGGTTTGCTGACTTCTAGAATGACGTTTGCGTATTCTGCTGTTTCCAAGGTTGACGTGTTCTGTACATACGCGACCACGGATGCTAGATGACAGGGATTATCCATAAGCGAGCACGTGACGCTCAACTACGAGCGACTGGTCAATCTGTGCTTTCCGGCGATCGTGCATCAACCCGCTGTCAATTCTCCCATGGCACAGCTGTCTCCGTCCATTGCGCAGTGCGCCGTCGTGGCCACGGCGCTCAAGGTGCTGCTTTTCCCTGCTTAGTATGTCTCGCTGCACAATTCTGAGGTTTAGTTCCTCGTCCTTGCTGACCATCTCCGGCAGTAAGTCGACCGACTTCGAGGTTCATCGTAACTGGCTTGCTCTCACGCATTCCCTACCCATCAAGGAATGGTATTACGAAGTCAGACAACCATGCCGTCAACGCCACGCAATTGTTCCAATCTAACACACTCCAGAAAACGTCTGAATGGACCTTGGACTATCCGCCGTTCTTCGCTTACTTTGAATGGCTAATGTCTCAAGCTGCACCCTATGTTGATCCTGGCCTGCTCAATGTAAAAGATCTTGGATACAACAGCTGGCAGACCGTATACTTCCAGCGTACTACAGTCGTTTTAACCGAGCTCGTCTTGGTCTACGCTTTGCACCTGTACTTACACACCACCCTACTTGATCTGTCCGTTACTAAATGCTCGCCAGCTATGTGAAGACCTCAAAGTCCAAAGTCACTGCTCACGCCGCTGCACTCTCTGTCCTATTGTCACCAGGACTGCTGATAATCG